ATTTTTCTATGTTTTTTAAATCTCTATTTTATTATTTCCTCCCTGATCTTTATAATTTCCTTCCTTCTGCTGCCTTTTGGGGTTTTTTGTTCTTCTTTTTCTAGTTCTTTTAGTTGGTGGGTTAAATTGTTTATTTGAGATTGTTCTTTTTTTGAGGAAGGCCTGTATCACTATAAACTTCCCTCTTAGCATTGCCTTTGCTGTGTCCCATAAATTTTGTGTTGTTGTGCCCCAGGTACTTTTAAATTATAGGATGAATGAACTTCTGGCCCTTAAGTTGTTAGAATTTAACATCAACCGGTCTTGTAGCAAGGAAAGACACATTTGGTGTTGTCACACATTACGGTTGTGATTTCTCTTTGCAGCCCAGTTGCCACAATGTGGTTGAGTTCATTAGCAGTTTGGGGTCAAACCTTGTGGCTCTCCTGGACCATCTGTCGTTTTGTTGGTGTTACTTTGGCATTGTGAGCTAGGTTTGTTTTTGTTCCTTGGCTTTTGGAGTGATTTTGTAATGCCCACTTCTTCTTCTAGTTCTCTTGCTATTTTCACTCCATCTGCAGTTCCTTCCTCCAGTTCAAAAAGTCTTGAACTTCTCAAAGTCATTCATAAGGGTTAGAATCAGCTTCATCCAAATTCCTGTTAATGTTGGTATTTTGCCCTCTTGTCACGTGTTACAGATGTTCTTAATGGCATCTAGAATGGTGAGTCCTTTCTGGAAGGTCTTCCATTGACTTTGCCCAGATCCATCAGCAGCTATGTATGGCAGCTATGGCCTGGCAAAATCTGTTTCTCAAATAATAAGACTTGAAAGGTAAAATGACTCCTCGCTCCATGGGCTGCAGAGTGGATGTTGTGTTAGCAGGCATGAAAACAACATGAACCTCATTGTCCATCTCCATCGGAGTTCCCAGGTGAGCAGTAGTATTTTAAAAAGAATCTTTTCTTCTGAGCAATAGGTGTCAACAGTGAGCTTAAAATACCCGGTAAACCATGTCATAAACAGATATGCTGTCATCCAGGCTGTGTTGTTCTGATTATAGAGCACAAGAAGAGTAGATTTAGCATAATTCTTAAGGTGCCCAGGATTTTCAGAAAGATTGTAGATGAGCGTTGGCTTCAACTTAGTCACTAGCTGCATTAGCCCTAACAAGAGAGTCTTTTGAAGCTCTGAAGCCAGGCATTGTCTTCTCCTCTCTAGCTATGAAAATCCTAGATGGCATCTTCTTCCAACATAAGGCTGTTTTGTCTACATTGAAAAATCTCTTGATTAGTGTCGCCACCTTCGTTAATTACTTAGCTCCATCTCCTGGATAACGTGCTGCAGCTCCTACATCAGCACTGGCTGCTTCACCTTACACTTCTATGTCGTGGAGATGGCTTCTTTTCTTAAACCTTGTGAACCAACCTCTGCTGGCTTCAGACTTTTCTTCTACAGCTTCCTCACCTCTTTCAGCCTTCACAGCATTGAAGAGTTAGGCCCTTGCTCTGGGTTAGGCTTTGGCTGAAGAGAATGTTGTGGCTGGTTAGATCTTCTGTCAAGACCACTCAGACTTTCTCCCTCTCAGCAGTAAAGCTGTTTTGCTTTCTTATCATCCATCTGTTCAGTGGAGTAGCACTTTTCATTTCCTTCAAGAACTTATGTTTTGAATTCATAACTTGGCCAACTGTTTGGCACAAGAGACCAAGCTTCTGGCCCATCTCAGCTTTCGACATGCCCTCCTCACTAAACTTAATCCTTTCTAGCTTTTGATTTAAAGTGAAAGACGTGCAACTCTTTCTTTCACTTGAATACTCAGAGGCCACTGTAGGGTTATCAGTTGGCCT